TAATAAAATAAAATTTAAAAATAAAATAGTTCTTGAGGAGAGGTCAGCAGGTGGTCTTTGGCAGGTAACAGGGAAGGGGTTCAGAGCACGTGGGGTGCTGCCACAGCATGTAGGGGAGCCAGCCTCGCTGATGCCCTACTCGTCCCAGCAGAAGGGACATTCCCCAAACGCCTCATATTCTACTTAATAGTTATTGAGTTTTATAGCACCGGATACTGTACTGTAAAGTGTGTACTAATAATTATCACAGTATCTCAATTTAGAAGACTTCCTGAACACTTAGAGCCTTGTGACACCAGCAAATATTACTATTTTTAGTTTTTATGAATATACTCATTGTTACAGGTGATTGATTTCAAATTTTTTCAAGCATAAAAAAATATATTCACCTAAAATTCTGAAGGATGTGGAATGGAACAGAGAGTTCAGAGAGAAAAAGAAACAATGTAAAAACTTCTGACTAGTGGAGAGAAGCTGGTTCCGGTGCTTTTCTGCTTTCTTGTTTTCACTGGCCCGCACATTGATCGGTCCCGGGCCTCGTGCTGTCAGCACTGCACTCTGACCAAGGCAGCTAACGGCCAGCCAGGCACTTTTTTGAATCAACAGTAATGGGTGCTATGGGCCGGCCCGTGGCTCACTCGGGAGAGCGTGGTACTGATAACACCAAGGCCACGGGTTCGGATCCCATATAGGGATGGCCGGTTAGCTCACTGGGAGAGCGTGGTGCTGACAACACCAAGTCAAGGGTTAAGATCCCCTTACCGGTCATCTTTATTAAAAAAAAAAAACAAAGTAAAAACCAGTAATGGGTGCTAAATTGCTGTGGTATTCAGATCACACTAGATATGTTTCAAAGAGTAACTGAACAGTTTTATTTTTAAATGATCATTTTCAACTATTTCAATGTACAACTTTAAAAATTCTGGTGGTACACTTAAGAACATACAAAGAGGAGCTGTTTTTTAGCTTCTTCGAGGCCGATGGTACGGCTACGCAGGGGCCCTGGCTCCCCACGCCCCATGCTGCTAGGTCTCATCAGACAGCGCAGATGTGCACCTCTGCAGCGGAGCATGCCGGGTGCTGGGGGAGGACACGGCCCTCTCGCCGCAGCCAGTAGGTCTGCAAAGCAGCCTGGAACTGTCCCAGTGCAGTGTGGCTACAGGCCGAGGCTGCAGACAGATGCCCAACTCCTCACAGCTCTTCCCAGTCTGTGTGCTTCGCATAGGGCCAGAGAGCACAAAGTTATTCTGCTGCGGTAAGTCAAAAATAAAGTGACCGTATCACCAACACAGTGTATCCCTGTGGTCCGGAACTGGTAGGCCAGTTAACAAAACGTCTACATTTTACAAGTTAGCTTTTAACTTAGGTTCTAAGAATTTTAAGTTTTGGGCCGGCCCGGTGGTGCACTGCTACAGTGTGCCGCTTGGGAAGTGCGGCAGCGCTCCCGCCGAGGGTTCGGATCCCACATACAGACCGGCCGCTCACTGGCTGAGCGAGGTGCGGGCACAACACCGAGGGTTGTGATCCCGTAGCCGGTCCCGGTCCGGTACGGGCGCGACACTGAGGGTTGCGATCCGTTGCCGGTCACGAAAAAAGACAAAAAAAGAAAAAAAAAAAAAAGAATTTTAAGTTTTAAAACACCAAAAAGCCTAAACATCACTGAGAAAATCCAGAACAGAGCAAGAGCATAAACACGTATCCAAAGCAGCAAGTTCCAGGCCAGACCACCCTGAGCAGTGGCAGCCTTTGCTCCACGGACTGTAAACTCATGGCTGCGCATGTCCAGTTCTACCTGCCACTCCTGGGGCCACTGACAGAAGCCACATGGCCTTGGGAGAATAAATACTCACTTCCTTTTAAATGTTTCCTCTTCTTTCTTCCTGGTTAGCTGCACAGAGCAAAGTTTACCCTCTAAGTCCTTTATCCTACAAAGAAACAGTGTGGAGAAAGAAAGTGAGGGCTGGTCCAGGGGCAGCGGTGCTCACACCTAGCCAAGCACACGCCTTACAGATCTCGTTGTTCCTTCTCCACTCCCACCGCTTCGCTTGACTTGCCTCGAGGGAGAGGGAGAGGGAAAGGGAGATGGAGAGGACCCCAAGAGGAAGGGCTGGCGCACCGGGCGTCCTTCACGGCCTCCAGGTCCCGGAGCTCCCAGGCTTGGCGCTGGAGCTTCCCCTCTAACTCCGAGTTCGCCGTCTGTGCCCTCTGCAGACACTCTGCAGCCTTGGCTCCAGCTTCTTTCAAAGCCTCAAGTTCTTTGTTCAGCAATTTAACCTTTTGAGAGATGGTTTAAGAATTCAAAATGAGGATGTAATTGAAACAAGTTGAAGTGTTAGAGGTACACGTTACCATTTTATCAGGATCGGGAGAGAGGAGAAAAATTAAAATCCAAGAAGCGGTACAACAGCAAGAACATCCTCACACACTCTGGGGTGAAACTCGGGTGGGACTCTGCACCCCGCTGAAGCCGGGTCCCGCCCTGTCAGGTGCCCCATGTGCATCCAAGGCTATCACCATAACAGACCAATTTAATTCCACTTTGGCAGGTAACAGGGCACACAGTTTGGGTACTATCTGCATACTGAAATCAAACATGCAGAGCCTGGGCTGCAAGAACGTGGCTCACTGCTGGGCGACCCCACTCAGATCCCACGGGCACAGTGAGGTTTTAAATGACTTCTCTGGCCTCCCTTTCCTCGTCTGGAAAACATGGTGGTGATGGTCGTTGCTCCCAAATCAGTTAGCACAAGTGCGTGGGAGAACAGCCTGCACAGAGCGGGCATTAAGACTCGGCTCTTGCTCTTATTAGTAAATTGCACGTGGTGAATTCTGCCATAGGCGGGTGTTCAGCGGTTGAACTAACTCACACAGCAGATCGAGGTGGAAGCGGAGCCGGCACCTTGGGTGCCCCTGCCTTGACAGGAGTGCCCACCCCAGTGTGGAGTACGGGGTGTTTGCATGCCCCACCTGCTGTCCCTCTGCTTGGTGCTCAGAACTTCCCACAGTGGCCTTGTGAGGGTCCCTGTGGGACAGCCCCCACCTTGAGGCCTAGACTGCTCTGGGCTCTGGCTGACAGGGGTAGGGTTGGGGTCAGAGGACTCATGAGGAGGGGGCGCGCAGACCACTGCAGCATTCATGCAGGGATTGGGGCCAGTGAAGACAGGATGGACTCGGGCTGCCACTGACTGGCAGGGGGACTGATGTCTGTGACCAGAGGTGAGACTGGGGGTTGCCTGGCCTGGGCCCCAGTCACTCTGAACACACGCATGCCCACCCACCACCTGCCAGGGTCCCTGGGGCCTCCAGCTGAGCCAAGGCTACCCTTGGGCTGCTGCACTGTGGGGAGGTTGGGGTTCTGGGGAGGGACCTTGCGCCAACCACAAAGGATGTCAGCCCAGCAGTGACCAGTCAGGGGTGGTAGGGGCAGACCAGGAGTTACCCTCTTCCTCTTCCTCTCCCGCTGTGGTGACTGCAGCTCCGCCCCAAGGCTGGCCCTGTCCTAAGCCCTCAAGGTGAGGCGTGCCTGTTCCTCACATGCCCTGGCAGCATGTGGGGTGGTGTTTGGGGCCATGTGCACGCAGAGGCAGCTAGCACCATGCCTGGGAGGGGGTTCTGGTTCCAGCTCTGCCATGCACCATCATACCGGCTTCAGATGGGCCTCTGAGCCCAAGCCCCAGCTTCCTCCACTGGACAAGGCAGAGAGGAATGGCAGCCCCTCCAGGTGTGCGTCAAGGCTCTCCCAGGAGAACACAGATGGACCGCAGGGGCAGAGTCTACAGCAGCCTCGTCACTCTGGCCATTGTCGGGTTGGTATTTCCCCTGAAGGGAGGGCGGTTCCTTGTGCCGAGCAGCTTGACCAGGTGCTGGGGCACCTGAGCAGAGGTTTCCGCCTGCATCTCACCAACCCTCCCCACCCCCACCCAGCTCTGTGCAGTCGAGACCCCAGCCCATGTGCCTCTGTGTGAACCATCCAATTCCCAGTTTGGAAGTCACCTCTCCACGCAAAAGTGTAGGTTCTCAGTGCTGATGAGGAAAACTTTCAGAACCTGGCAGTGGCCCCCGTCACCTTGAGCTCGTGGGACAAGACCACGTTGCTCATGTCATCAGCCTGCAGGCGGAACTCATGCTCCCTCTTCTGCATCTCGGATTCGAACTCCTGTAGCAGCTCCTGGAACAGAAAGGGCTTGTGGTGAAAGGAGGACGGCACAGCCCAGCAAAGACCACGCAGGGTAAGGGCTCATGTCATCAGCCTGCAGGCGGAACTCATGCTCCCTCTTCTGCATCTCGGATTCGAACTCCTGCAGCAGCTCCTGGAACAGAAAGGGCTTGTGGTGAAAGGAGGACGGCACAGCCCAGCAAAGACCACGCAGGGTAAGGGCTCGGGGTCAATGAGGAGGCACCACACAAGTGCCAGAAGGGAGAAGCTGGGGTCCGAGGCCGGTGGGGATGGGGCAGAGCCAACCACGCGCCGCACTGTTTCTGGGGCTCTTCCTACAGCGCCTGCTGCTGTCTGCAGTGTTCACGTAAATGTCAGCTCCCGCTGTGGGTCTGGATCTGTCTCTCTCTTTAGTTCTGTCCGTTTTTGCCCTGAACAGAGTGAAGCCACTGGTGTGTCCACATTGAGAACCGACTGCTCGAGGACTTACAATGAGAAGCACAGGGACCCCAGACCCTCCCCACTGAGCCCCCACAAGGACCACCCACTTCGGACACTCAATCACCTGAAGGCAGGGTTAGCTGTTAAGAATACGGCCACATCTGCTGCCACCACTTAAGCCCCCCCCGGCGGCCCAGCCCTTGGGCAGGACCCGCGCGTCCATGCAATGACAGGTGGACCAGCCCTGTGCCAGCCCCACTGTGTACCTCACACTCCCCTGAGTGCCAGGGGGCCTCAGGGAAACTGCACAGAAAGTAGAACTGAAAATACGTATTTTGCTTTTTTAACCAAAAATGAAGCGTGAGGGTCACAGGAGTGACTCCTAACGGGGTCAGAACGTGGAAATCATTGATTCACTCGTCCTAACTACTGCAAAATCATGAGACATCTGGCTTCAGCTGGGCAGGCTGGCCCGGGGGAACAGGTCCTGCAGGCAGCTGTGGCCACCAGGGGGCACGAATCCCACGTCCGGCCAGAGCCTGTGAGCAGGGACCTCTCCGGCCAGCCAGTGAGCAGAACTTGGCACTTTAGCACTGCACGGCACAAAGGTGAAGCCATGCTGGCCGCGCTCTGTGCCCACCCCACCCTGCCCTGCGGTCTGGCTGGCCGACCAGCCCTCGCCTCCCCGCCCTCGCCTCAAGGCTCTCTGTACCCTCCCATCTCCAACAAACTTGTACCTCACCCAGACCCCTCTCGAGTGAAGTCCACTCTTCCTCAACATGTCCACTTGGACGTCCAGGAGACACCTCATGCCAGCCTAACCAGCCACACCGCCAATCTGCCTCCCAAACCCCCTCCCCACTGGTGTCCCTGTCACCCTTCTGGGTGCTCAGGGCCAGACCAGGTGTTGGACTCGACATGTCCTCTCTCATGCCCCTGTCTGACCCATCCGATGTCTACCTGCTCTCCTTTCTAGGTGCATCCAGAATCCACCGTTCTCGCCATCTGGGCCCCACCACCTGGCCCGCGCCTCAGCTATGCCGGGGCTCCCCGCCTCACCCTGCCTCAGCCCTCAATCCAGCACAGCTCTGCCCAGCCCCCACAGTGCCCACCTCACGTGGAGCGAAGGCCCATCCTCACAATGGCCTGTGAGGCCCTCCAGGCCTATCCCACCGTCGGCCCTCCTGAACCTGACGCTGGCCTCCTGGGGTCCCCAAGCACACAGGCGCCTGCCTCCCTCCAGCTGAGCGCCCCCCCACACCTGCAGAGTCTGGCTCCAGTGTTCTCAGGGGGCTCCTCCTGACCACTCTATTTAGAAGGTGAGTCCCACCCCCACCCTGGCACTTCTGCCCCGTTCCTGCCTTGTGTGTCTACGGCAGGTGACACTCTTAGAGAGGCTGTAGCTGCAGACTTCACTTATGGTTCAGGTCAACTGTGCACCCCGCCCCCAGCGTCAGCTCACTCTGCGAGGGCCAGTGTCCAGGCAAGTCCAGGTGTTCACACCCAACTCCAGGGCCTGGCAGAGCTCCTGGCATGTAGCTCATGTTTAAAAAAAAATTTGTTAAATGAATAAATCAATAATCATTCAGTTTCCTTTTGGTGGCTTCTAACCCTTTGACTGATAACAAGGAAAAAATTCCCTTACGTCCAATGTGCACAATTCACACATGTAATAAAAATCAGACAGGATGATTCATTTACCATCATCTTACACTTCATTTTTAAAAAAGAAAAATCACTACCCCATCAACTCAGTTCCACCTTTGGCAAGTCAATAATGGACACAAAGATCTTCTGAAACGAGAGACAGGAAACCAGCCCGAAGGAAGCCACAAAGCTGACCAGCACATAAGACCCTCGCTTCATAATTAAAACACTGAGACGTGGGCGGCAGAACAGCGTTCAGGGAAAGGCACCCTGCACCTGAGAGCTGGCCTGGGCTCAGACGGTTCCAGAACCACACTACACATGCTACCCACACTTCTGGCAGCAGCCAAAGCTGCAACGATAAAACATCAAGTCCCCTCCCTTCCTGAGACAGGGCTGTTACCTAAACGTGTCTCCAGACGTCTGGGGGCTGGGAGGGTACACCTGAACCAGCACTGCTGGGTCTGAGGAGAAGTTCTGCACACGGACGGGCCAAGAAGCCGCCCAGAGCCATAGCCAGGTCTGCCAACCACAACCTCCCCAAATTGCTTCTGTCCTCCAGTGCCACCGTGCACCCACTTGCCCCCTGGTTGGAAGGACTCCCCCCACCCCACTGCCCCGAGCCTTTCTCAGACTTCTTCATTGGTCTGTTTTGTTTATTTTGTTGGTGGCTGAGTGGCACAGGGATGGAACCCTGGGCCTTGGCATCATTATCAGGACCACGATCTGCGCTGACCAGCAGCCCTCACAGGTTTCTCTTGACCATACACTTCAGCCTGTGGCGTGATGCTTAAAGACCTCTAGCTGCTTCCCAAAGTCAAATCCAGCCATAATGGACAAAGTCTTTGGTCCCTATAAACTCCAAAAGAAAGTCCTCTACAGGTAATTTCTAAGACGGTCTCAGGGCACTCTGAGCAGTGGCAGGGCTGTGGACAACAGACTTGGCGCCTCCAGGGGGCACGAAGGGCACCGCACAGCTGGATTGGTCCCTATAAACTCCAAAAGAAAGTCCTCTACAGGTAATTTCTAAGACGGTCTCAGGGCGCTCTGAGCAGTGGCAGGGCTGTGGACAACAGACTTGGCGCCTCCAGGGGGCACGAAGGGCACCGCACAGCTGGGGCCTATGTCTGTGCGAGGCTGGGGATGCCCGAGCCTGCTGTGCCACAAGCACGGCCCGTCCTCTGCAGCCATGAGTGAGGCCGAGGCTGGAGGGATGGCCAGTGTCCACACATCCTGTCAGCGCTGGCTGGCCCAGAACGTCTCTCAGACACCATCCTACCATCTGTTTTGGGCCCTGGCGCTATGCCGTGGGGAAGGCGGAGCCCACTTCACTGGCACAGCAGCTCCGTGAGCCCAGAAGTTTCGGTCTTTTCTGGAAACTGCTGCACCCATGACCACAGGCACCCATCCACGTCTGTTCAGTGATGCATCGTCGAGAGACAAAGGAGCCAACTCAGAGTCAGACGGCTCACACGGCATCACTCTGCCAGGAAGAGGCAGAAATGGGGACCCAGCAAGGCTGACTCCCAGGTCCAGCTCCTGCTCTAGGATCGGCAGCATGAGTCTCCAAAGCACTGGGAGCGGACGGTGCAACTGTGTCCCTGCTGTGAGGAGCACGAGAGCTCACGCGCATGCCCCGGCTCCTCACTGCACCTTGCATGCAGCAGCGCCGTGTGTGCGCCAAGACAGAGGGCTGCGCGGCGTCGCTTAGCCCAGCGCCAGCACGGCTGAGTCTCTGGAGGCATGGGCTAAGTTTCAAGAACACTGAGGAGAAATTTGGTGACAACATCTATATTTAAACCTATAATTACTCATTGTTTTGTTGAAGGAAATATAGTGTACCATAATGTGACTTCCAAACTCTTTTCTACAGCAAATAAGTCAGGCTTTTTTATTTTTCCTTTTTAACTGAAGCTTTTTTAATAGCACTTTTTTCTAAAATAAAGAAGGAAATGTTTAACTATTTCTAAGGTGGGATGGTTAATTATATGTGTCAAGTCACTGGGCTAAGGGATGCCCAGAGAGCTGGTAAAAAACATTTCTGGGTGTGTCAGTGAGGGTGTTTCCACAAGAAATGAGCATTTGAGTCAGGAGAGTTTGTAAGCAAGGTCTGCCTTCCACAGTGTGGATGGGCGGGTGCCCTCCAATCTGTTGAGGGCCCAAGTAGAGCAGGAAAGTGAGGAGGGGCAAGTTTGCATCTGCCTGAGCTGGGATGTCTGTCTCCTCCTGCTCTGAATGTCACAGCTCCTGGTTCTAAGGCCTTCAGACTTGGATCAGGACACTCATCAGTGGCTCCCCTGGTTCTCAGGTCTTTGAACTCAGACTGGGTTGCACCACCAGCTCTCCAGATTCTCCAGCTTTCAGATGGCAGACTGTGGGCCTTGCTGGCCACAGTAATGTAAGTGGGTTCCCATAATCAACCTCCTGTCATACACTCTACATATCGCTCATTGGTTGTTTCTCTGGAGCCGCGACTCACATATGAGAAGAGAGAACACTGTGGGAGTTACTACAAAGGGAGACTTAGACACCTTGTATTTCCCTACAGACCAGCCCTGTGTGGAAATCTGCCCAATAATTCCACTTTTACTCCCATAGATAACATGTTCAATGAACAAAATGCTTATCTTTTCCTTCACCCCATGTAATTTAAGATTTGAAGCGGCAGGCGGGCAGGCGCTCGGAAGGGACGAGACTCCACCTGTCTCTGTAGAGCAAGCTCCCCGTCGAGCTCCTGCAGCTTCCTCTCCAGCCTCCATTTCAGATCCTCATACTGCTCCCGGTGGAGGTCAATCTCGCCGTTCCTGTCACTGCAGTGACAAAACACAGCATTAAGAAAAGCCACACTGCACACGCACCAAAGGCACATGTTTGCAGAGTGTGTGCAGTACATGCGGGGTTTCTGCTGCACTTTTGCAAGAGTGGATGAAAAACGCTTGGGGTCTTGGTGGGTGCAGGCAGAACCTGCAGCGTGCCCTCCGAGACAGTCTGTGTACACACACCGCACATGCGGACGAGAGGCCGGCGGGAAGACACAGTGTCGCTGTTAATGTGCCATGGCACACGTGTGTGACTTTTGAGATGCAGGGCAGGGGAAGCAGTGGAAGATTTTTTACATGAAGCCTGCCATGTCTCTCTTTCTCACTGTCTTATCAAAACTGTCAATGCCATGGTCGGTGAGTAGAGCAGAGCTGAGGGGGACACCCGTGACAGCCAGACACGGTGGTGAGCGCCACAGGCCTGGCCAACAAGACCCCACGGATGGATGCAATAGGTTCCTCCGTCTACTTGCCTGAAGTCAGCCCATTTCCTTTTCTGTTTTGTTTTGTTGGTGGCTGGCTGGTACGGGGTGTAACCAGCAAGGCTCGAACCAAGTGGGCTAACTGGCCAGCCTTAGTTTTGAAATTAACATATGTTTCACATTAAAATAATGATAAGCTTAAATATGTTCTATTAAAATAATGTAGATGTGTAATTGCTGAAACAAATTCCAAATATTTAAGCCAACCTCCAATAATTTCAGAGTTGTGTCAAAACCCAGAAAAAGACACCCCAGGCCTGGTCTTGTGTACAGTCACTCAATGAATACTTATTCAGTGGCCACTGACTGGCCAGCCCCTGCAGCCTGGAGTGTGCAGCCGGCACGAGGGTGCAGCACAAGCATGTGGCGGGGAAGTGGGTGGCACTGGGGCCTGGCCCGCGATGCCACCCCTCACCTGTGCAGGCGCTCCAGCTCCAGGCGGTGCTCCTGAAGCACCATCTGCTGCTGCTGCTGTAGCTCCTCCACCCGCCTGGCCTCTCTGGCGAGTGCCTGCTTCAGCTTGGCCGCCTCTATCTTGAGCTCGCTCACCTCGGCCTGCCTGGCCTCCTCCCGTCCTCTGGCCTGGGCAAAGGCGGCGTCGTAGCGCTCCAGCTCACGGTCCCGCTCCTCCAGCACCTGGAGGTTGTAGACAAAGTCCTCCTGCAGGCGCCGCAGCTCCCCCTGTGCCTCCCGCAGCCGGCTCTGCGTGTCCTGTAGAGCCGCCTCCTGCAGCTGGGCGCGGTGGGCCCGCAGCGCCCTCCACTCCTCCTCCTTGCGACTCAGCAGCTCGTTCAGGGTCTGCTGCGAGCACAGTGGCAGCATGGCGACGGCTACAGCAAAGAGAAGGCGGACATTGGCAAACCGTGAGGGGCTCCCACTCTTCTTCCATGAGGCCCACCTCAGACCCCCGTCCACGGCTAACACCGTCTCACACTCTGCACTCTGGAGCAGGTGAGGCCCAGAGCCTCGAGGCAGCACTGGGTGCAGACCTCAAGTCCTAGCCGAGGACTCTTCCTACCCTGTCCTCACCCCACTGCAGGGGGAATGGTGCCAGTAAATGCAGAGGAAGCAGAGGAAGCGGAGGAAGGACGGACAGGAAGCGCGGTCTGCTTGCCCACAGAGCTAGGCCCTATACAACAGCTTTACGACGCACTCTCCATTTTGCAGTTGAGAAAACTGAGCTTGTAAGTAGCTGAGCTAGGACTGGGATCCGGGCGGCCCCTGAGAACCAGGCCCCTCCCACCCCACACTCTGTTCTGGGAGCAGAACTCCAGCTGCTACAAGATCCACCACCTGGGAGCGGGTTCCTTTGTTCTTTCATTTCCAATCCATCATGGACTCATAGTTTAGGGAAACAACAAAAATAAAGTACTAGAAAGAACGAAATGAAAAAATGAAGATATACAATATACAATTCTAATATTTTATTATTAGATTCAACAACAATGAATTACTTTGTCAAATCATTAACAAGTATCTAAAATCTCGCTCCCATCTCTGTGTATCTGCCAATGATTAGCCACACAGGGCGGGCACTGGCAGTGGCCATGACCACGCCTGAGGGCCTGCTCCTTGCCAGGGCGTGCTACAGACTGTCGCCTCACCTGGTCAGGCCCTGGTCCCACCACTTGGAAGAGAAGGAGTGGTTTCTGACACACAAAACCACATAGGTGGGGACCCTCAGGCTTGACTTAAGCAAATCAACCTGCGGCCATTGGTGCTGGGGTGGCATGGCCAGGTGGTGTGCAGACCGGGGCACAGGGGCCACCACACTTGAATGACTTGAATGACACGCTTCCCAAAAAGGGCTCTTCTAGAAGGGTGGGGCAGAGACTGGAGGAGGGTGTCTGGCAGTGAGGGTGTGTATCACCATCACCCAAAAAATGCAGTGTGTCTGATGGTTCATAAGTGCACCTTCTTTAGGAAGAAAAAACCCACACTGTTTCAGGTCATCTCAACTCACCAGTTCAGTACACACCCACGGAGAGAACTCTGGGTGAGAGGCGGCGCCCTGGCCCTGCAAGAGGGCTCTGAAGGTGAACAGGATCCCGAAGGTGCTGAAGACAACACTGTGATATCGTGCCTCCACCTAGGTCAACGTAGAGCAGACATTCACAGACATAAACTCCCAAACAGGAACAGAAACAAAGGGTTTTGTTTTTCTGTTGTGTGTGTATTTTTTTTTTACATTAACTCTAGAATTCTTAACCCAGCAGCCACTCTCTACATCAGCAAGAATGCCACCTCTTAGGGACATAAAGTTGATTTCCCTCCTAAAATTACTAATAACAAAAACCAACAACAAAATATTAGCTATTCAATCAAAACTATTACTATAATGTCTTGGTAATAAAACGAAAAAAATTTTAAAAAGAAATTGTCAAAATGATCTGGCCAGCATTTGGAGAATCCCAAAATATTCCATTAGGACCAAAGAAATGATAAGGGTGCATTTTATAGGAGAAAACACATCTTGTGTGCTGGGTGCCCAGTGGACGGCGGAAACACCTTGGCTTCTCTGAGCTCAGCAGAGCAGTGCTTAGAACACATGGAGTGAAACAGGGAGCAGCATGGGATCAGCTGGCCTGGAGAAAGCTGGGGACCTGTGCCGGGGCCACGCCACCACTGGGCACAGAGTCACTCCCCCCACGGGCGGCTGCTGGAGCGCCAAGCACAAAGGCAGAGTCGAGCGTGTGGCCTGTCCCTTTCATGGAGAAAAAGCCAGGCCATCGTTCAGGTGAAGCACACATTTTCCCTGCACTGGCATTCACATCTGAAAGAATAGGTCTCCCTAAGAGCGACGGATTGCACAGGGCACAGCCTGGCACACTTCTCTGGAAAGGGCCAGCGAGTAGCATCTGGAGCTCAGTGAGCCACACCCAACCTGCATGAAGGTTGCACACACCATGGAAACTGATGCGTGGGCTCAGCCCACAGGCCTGCGTCGCTGGAGCCTCATGTGGGGGACCTTTCATGAGTGCCCCTATGACAAATAGGACAGTTTTTATGGCTGGCCCTAGCAGCCCCCTAGCCCTTTAGGGTCCAAGTATGAGCTCAACCTAGACACGAGCGGCCACCACAACCCTCCTCTGGTGTCCACATGGGCGCTGTGTGGCCTCAAGAGCTTCTGCTCCAGTGGGGGAACGGGCACCCACACTTCGGCCTGCTGGGACGTGTACAGGGTGCCACTGTGGGAGCAAAAAGAGGCCTGGCCCATCTTGGGGTGCCTCTGCACGCGAGAGGGACAGCCATGCAAAGTCCCAAGTCCCAGAGGGAGAGGGCACGGGACATGGCCAGGCTGAGCCCGCTGATATGAACTGTCAGCAGGGGTGGGAGGGCTGCAGAGGACACGGGGCCCATCCACAGGACTGGCCAGCAGGTCCCAGAGGCACGTTCTTGCCAGGGTGGAGCCTGCCCAGCCCTCACGCCCACCTCGGCCTCCTCGGAGCTGCCACTGACCACCCCTTGCCAGAGCTAACAGGGTCCCCACCCACCACCGGAGTGCGACCACCCCATGCTTCAGCCTTGGCTTCCCTTGACCCAGTCAGTGGCACTGGCATCCCGCCCGTGGAACGAGCCTTGACTCCTCGCTGTCTCTCAGCCCCGTGCCTGCACTCCAAGGGACCTGAACTGGCCTCTCTGCTCCGCACTCACCTTCATGGCTGCCAAAGGAACGTGTTTTAAAAACACCTACCCAGGGGCCGAGCCTGTGGCGCACTCGGGAGAGTACGGCGCTGGGAGCACAGCGGCGCTCCCGCCGTGGGTTCAGATCCTATATAGGGTTGGCCCCTGCGCTCACTGGCTGAGCGCAGTGCGGCCGGTCTCAAAAAGGACAAAAAAAAAACCACCTAGCCAGGGCTTACCACTCCATTTAAGACACCGGACCCCAAGGCTCCACTGCCACATTCCCTCAGAATCTGGGACGTGCCAAGGGATCCCCGACTAGCATCTGGGCTGCAGCTTCCCCTCTGCCTGGAAGGCTCCTCCCAACCCACAGGGCAGGCTCTTTGTCACTGGGACCTTGTCCCAAATATCGCTCTGGAAATCTTTCCTAACCTCCCATCCCAAACTGGTACAATGCCACTGCCTTCGTGTCTGCCGTAGTGAGTCCTACTGTCTGGCATAGTCTTGGCAGCAGAAACATCATACACATAGGCCACACACATACCTGTGCACACTCACAGAGAAAGAACTGGAATACTGGCAAATACACAATGTTAAATGATGCCGACGTCACTGCTACCTTCGATGACTCAGAGCCTCTCTCACGGTGCTCATGAGTCACTACGACAGTTCTCTGCAAAGGAGGCCCAGGCCAAGGGCTGTAAGGTCCTCTGAGGACTGCCTGCAGCACCTGGTCCTGCAATAGGCTCCCTGCCACCAGGTACCTTCTTTAATTCGTCGGTCACACAGGAGTTACTCTTCGAATACAGAAATCTGATCATGTGACACTGTTCTGGTTAAAATCTGCCCATGGCTCTTTTATTTTCAAAGTAAAGCACAATCTCTGGGGCCGGCCCAGTGGCGCACTGCTATAGTGCGCCGTTTCTCCCGCCGAGGGTTCGGATCCCACATACAGACCGGTTCCCGCTCACTGGCTGAGCGAGGCGCGGGAGCAACACCGAGGGTTGCGATCCCGTTGCCAGTCCCGGTCCGGTACGGGGCGACACTGAGGGTTGCGATCCGTTGCCGGACACGGAAAAAGACAAAAAAAAAAAAGTAAAGCACAATCTCTTCGGCAGAGTATACAAAGACTCCCAGGACAGGCCTGGCCCGAGTCACCCACCACAGCCCCCCCCCTGGATTTCCAGCTGCTCCCAGCAGGCCCAGAGCTTTGTATTTCTGTCTCTGGGTACATGCCACTTCTGCCTAAAATGCCCTGCGGGAGCAACACGGAGGGTTGCGATCCCGTTGCCAGTCCCGGTCCGGTACGGGGCGACACTGAGGGTTGCGATCCGTTGCCGGACACGGAAAAAGACAAAAAAAAAAAAGTAAAGCACAATCTCTTCGGCAGAGTATACAAAGACTCCCAGGACAGGCCTGGCCCGAGTCACCCACCACAGCCCCCCCCCTGGATTTCCAGCTGCTCCCAGCAGGCCCAGAGCTTTGTATTTCTGTCTCTGGGTACATGCCACTTCTGCCTAAAATGCCCTTTGTCCCCTTATTGGTGAGGTTCCTTCCCACTAGGTTTTCAGGACTCTGAGGGCCACCTTCTGTGACAGCTTCTAGGTGCCGGGCCAGGCAGATGGCGCTCACCTCTTTTCTAGAGTGGGATGGGCATCTCCCCAGAGCTCTGCCCACACAGGAGAAGCTCAATAAATGTATGGCAAATGACTCGATCTGTCTAGCAGTGAGAGGAGCCAGCTTGCACCCTGCTGTGTCAGTCAACTGCCCGAGATCCCGGGGCACTCAGGAGCCCATGGGTGGGGCTTCCTTCTCACCCCATCACAGAGCAGCTGCCCTGCTTCTGTATAGAGCTCACCAAGGGATGATCCCAGGAGCCCTGCAGCTGCGATTAATCAGCTTTAAACATGAGAGTCAAAGTCTGGACCCAATCTGTCTGTCAGCCAGAAAATGTCCCTAGCAAGCACCCAGTTTTCAAAAGGAACCACGCAAAGCTTCTGGGGAGCTGCAGAAGAAAACTCCAGAGAAGGGAGAGACCCAATGTCAACTCAGCTTTGCCTACGGTGTTCACAGTCTTCTAGGAGAAAGTGGGGTCAGGAAGCCTGCTGCCCTAGCAGGGAACAGATCAGCACCAGGCAGGCATCCCATCACTTTGATTTTCTCATTTTAAAAATACTGAGAAAGCTAGCCCATTTATA